AACAAATGTTAGAGTGATAGCTACCCTTAATAATTGTCACTAGGGGGCCAGGCACTTTACAAACTCTGTCTCTAATTTTCATGATAATCCTTCAAGAGAGGGCTATTATCATTTTACATATGAGAGAATAAGTTTTAACTAAATGAAGTAACTTTCTCAAAGTTATATAACTTAGAAAAGTCACTTTAAGTGAAATATACCTTTAAAAAAGTTTTTCATGGTAAATATACACAGCATAAAATTTACCATTTTGGCCATTTTTAAATACATAGTACAATTTTGTGGCATTTTGTACATTCATAATGCCGTATGGACCATTTCTACTGTTTTCAGAAACTTTTCATCATCCTAAACAAATTGTATATTCATTAATAACTCCCTCTTCTCTTTCCCCCAGCCCTTGGTAACTCTAATGTGCTTTCTGTTTCTATGAATTAGCCTACTTTAGATCATTCACATAAGTAGAATCATAAAATACTTATTCATTCATCTAATCTGTCTCTTTTTAAGTATCCTGGAATCTGCTTTCGCCAGTAGGCATTGAAACTGGCTGCCACTTTCTGTGCTGGTCTCTCAAAGATCCAAACCAAATCTGAGTACAGAACCATGATACTTGACCCTTATTGCCAGACTATATCAAAATATCACATGCTACTGATCTAGGGGGAATATAACTCTCAACCTACTAGATGTCAGATGTGCCGAGTTCATGTCTCATGAAATTGAAGAATTAATTCCAAAGGATAAAAGAGGTTAAAGGTAGGAACGGTTTATTGAGAGATACCTCCTGAGAGACAGGTGGGGTCCTGGGAGTAGGTTGCCACTGGGGCCCTTTGTCGGGGGGGGTAATTTATATAGCAAAGTCACAATGTGGGTACAACGTGGGTCAAACTATAATCAACCTACAGGATTAGGAGTATAGCTGCTTAGCTAATACTGAACCACTAGGAAAGTGGGTCCTGTAGCAAGGGTACATGGAAAGAACAAAGACATTTTTGGGAAACAATGGGCCGGGATGCTCTGGTCACCTACTCAGGCAACATGCCTATCTGGACTTCCTGGACCAGGTGGTGCTATTTATAGTATAATTCCAAGTTACTACTTATCCTTTGGGGAGGCATGTAGGTCTGCCTGTTGCATCTTTATCTTGAGGGAGACCTGGTCTTCCTCAGCTTCACCTCCAACCACTATTCTGAATGATGTCTTTTATTTTTTTCTGCTGACTTCCTTGACAGCCCAGCCCTCTCTGACTATGTATTAGTTTGTGTGTAACTAAGCTGCCTATAAGAGTACCCCATTAATGTCTACATTTTAATGTATCAGTGAAAATTAAATTTAGATTAAAAAATGAAATATCTATTGAAAAAAAGTCCTTATTGTGTACCTTAGCTCTAGCAGGCTGTGCTAGAAACTAAAGAGTTGGTGACTACTGGGCAAAAGACTGACATTTATCAGCCTCTTGGTAGAACTCTCCCCTGGATGCTCCTTGTATTCTGCCTGGAAGCCAGTGTTCCAAAATAGTTACCTCAGGTAATTTCTGCCAGTTTAATAGTTGTATAGATGGAGAGATTGGTTCCTGGGACTCTCTCTTCTCTCTTCTTCCATGATATTACTCCCAATGTAGGTATCCTTATAAACAACAGTGAACTTTTGTTGTCACATAAAAAGGTCTGTTATCGTTACATCAAAGAAAGCATCAGGTGTATTGCTTTCTAGATAAGGTAATGCTATATCACAATATTTATTCTTTGGAAAAAAATAGCCATCATTTTGCATGGTAGTGGGAGGCATGCTTTCTGTGTATGCATCTGTAATAGATTTTCACAACTAGCTGAATTCATAGCATTTAGTTGTATTCGGTCAGCTTCCATTGCTGTGATAAAACACCTGAGACAATTTATAGGAAAGCTTGATTTTGGCTCATAGTTTCAGTCAATGGTAACTTGTCCAGTTCCCTTTGGACCTGTGGCAAGGCAGAAATTCATGGTGAGGGTACATGGTGGAGCAAGCTCTTCACCTTATGGCAGCTAGGGAGCAAAGAGGAAGAGCAGAAGAGGATGGAATCTCAGCGTCTTCAAGGGCATGCCCTCAGTGACCTAACATCCTCTGACTTGGCTGTACTCCTAAAGGTTACATCACCTTCCTAAAAGTAGCATAGGCTGGTGGCCAGGCCTTCAAAACATGGTATTTGGAGACCATTTATCCAAAATGAAGATAATCAGTCTTTGGCATATAAAATAATGGAGAATTGGGCTGGGGATTTAGCTCAGTAGTTTCACCATCTGTCTCGCAAATGAAAGGTCCCGAGATCAATCCCCAGTACCAAAAAAAAAAAAAAAAAAAAAAAAAAAAAGATGGAGACTTATTCTTGTAACTCATTTTGTTCCTGGAGGCTGAAATAAAGAATTTAAACCCGCACCCTTTTGTAGAGTAAATTTACAGACTCTCTGACTCTCTTCAGGACACATCTATAAGTTGCAAGAGAAGGGTTTCTTAGAGATACAGGACACATTTAAGAGCAGAGTGTGGGTGCTCAGAGAAATGCGATACACTACATAGTAGTTTGGAACTGGGAATCTTGTGTGTGCCTTGGTAGGTGGAAATCTGGGGAATTGATAATCCATAGTTTTGGTCTTGTCTAGTGAGTGGGAGAGGATGGTCCATCCATAGTAAAATAATGGTCCATTCACATGGGAAATTCTAAAAGGTGGTCCATTCACAGGTAAAAAAGACCATGTGCAAGTAAAAAGGAAATAAACATGCATTTGTAGGTGAAAAGAAGTTGCCCAGATTTACTAAGAACTGGGTTTGTACCCTGAAGCTGCAGTTTTTCTTAAAAGTAGTTTTTAAAATCTTAATTTCCATGTCCCTTTTCTACTTAGCTTTCTGTCCTACCTTAGACAAGATATGATATTAAAGTGATGTTTAAAATTTAAAAATTTTTATTACAGTCAAAATTCCTGGGCACCAGTGTTATCACTGGCGTTTTGGGGGTCCTAGAGTCTCCTTTAAGAGGTGGTTTATAGGCTCTTTCTATCCTGTGAAAGGAATTGGTGAAGAAAGTGCAAACAGTAGCAAAGTTTTATTAAAGGTAGGAAAAGAAACAGGCTCTGCCTGCAGAGTGAACTTGGATGAAGTAAAAGTAGGAAAAGTACACTCTACAACATGAGGGTGGGCCATCTGCAAGAGAACGCAGTGGCAAAATCTCAATGTGGACTGTCCTTTTTGTAGCACCCACTCCTTAGGATGGCTTCAGTTCTAGGCCACCCTATGGAAAACCTGCTCCAGTTTTCAGGAGAAGTCCATGTGCAGGACTTTGGAAATTGTGGGATTTTGTAATGAACAAGTCACACCTATTTCCCCATCCAGCTTTGCCATGCTGTAATCTCCTGTCTTAGCATTATTCACTGTATTTTTTATCATACGTTATGAACACACTCATGAAGCTGGGCGTGGTGGCACACACCTGTAATCCCAGCACTCAGGAGGCTGAGGCAGGAGGATTGCTGTGAGTTCGAGACCAGCCTGGGCTACATAGTGAGTTCCACGTCAGTCTCAACTACATAGTAAGACCCTGTCTCAAAAAAAAAAAAAAAATCAAACACACTCATGAAATAGGATTTCCAGAAATCCTTCAGAAAGTGGCAAGAATGATAGGTGTTTCAAATGAGGAAGAATATTTTCAGTGGGATAAATGGTAACGTGTCTTTTAGTGTAATGATTTTTAAAAATTGAAACACATACCTTGTACAAATTGCTGTAGAAGCGTGGTATATGTCAGAGGTTGGTATCAGGAAATAGTTTCTGAGAAAGCAAGCATGGGACTAGATTTTGAAGTGTGAGAAAGTGTTCTGTTTCAGGTCTGATTCTGTTATAATAACTGTGAGACACTACTTTTGTCTCTAATAAAGATGTGGAGAGGAGAGAGACCACCTAGGCAGGCATTGTGTGGGCAGTGATGCTGTTTATTATGCTCGGACCAGCTGGCTGCAAGCAAGCTGAATAAAGGATATCCAAGCCATGCGTGGTGGTGCACACCTGTAATCCCAGCACTCAGGAGGCTGAGGCAGGAGGATTGTTTGAGTTCAAGACCAGCCTGGGCTACCTAGTGAGTTCCAGGTCAGTCTCAACTACATAGTGAGACGCTGTCTCAAAAAACAAACAAACAAACAGGATATCCAGCACAGAGCAGACGGAGAACAGAGCATTTAAAGGTAAAGGGAGGGATTATTGTCTTGAGGAATTTGGGCAGATAGTGAGGTCACACTTCTTGGGACAGGCAGTGGTTGTGGATGCCATCAGGCTTCTTGGAGCAGCAGTGGGTGAGACATAACTTATTGTCCTTGCTCTTCTTGCACATTCCTTGCTGAGGCTTGATGATGCCCGAGCCATGCTTGGTAGTGCTCCTGCCCATGCAGTTGCCATGGAGGTGGTGTGTGCTCCAGCCCTGTGGTTGTCTTACATGTTGGTTTAACATTATCTACTTTCCCATCCAGGCTACCAGGGGCTTATGAGCAGTTTAGAAAATCCCCCAAATTCTAATATTCTGGACATTAACCTTTAAAGTTTTCTTCGTTTTTTATTATAACTTTTTCTCTTAATGTATTTCTTTTGCCTCTTCTTTTACTTCTTTTATTTGTTTGTTTGTTTGTTTATGGTACTGGGCTTTGAACTTGGGACCTTGTACTTGCAAGTCAGGCATGGTGCCACTGAGCTAAATCCCTGGCCTCCTTACCTCTTCTTGAATGCTATTTTCTGTGTCCCTTCTTGGAATCTGTGGTGGTGTTAAAGGTTTCAGAAATAGATAAAATGAGATAAGCTCAGTACTTACTCAGAGCCCTCTCCTACAGTGACAGTGGCTTCTGTTAACCCAGGGCTTCTTTCCCCAGAACTTCTGATTTTCTTGGGCAAGATCAATAGGAAACCAAAAGTTTTTACACAAGTATTCTCTGTCAGGTAAAAAAGCCGAAAACCAAGACCAGATCAGAACCACTACAAACCTTTGTTGTAGGGACAATCCACCTGGCTGTCTCCGATCAAAGGAGACAGAGAGCAATATGGCAGAACAGAGAGCTTCTTTTATAGAACTGGGGCGGAGTTAAGTGAGATTGTATTAGGGATTGGAGGAGCCTTTGGTTTATGACATCACCAGTTACTTGGGAGGTAGCAAGTATCTGGTTACATTTTGGGCGGGAGAAGGGACATCCTGGTAGGTGGGGGAAACCATCCTTTGGTAGGTGGGAGAAACCATCTTTTTAGGTGAGAAGCAGGTCACATTAAGGGGAGGGAAATCTAATCGTCTCCTCCTTTGGTCAGGCATAACCAAGGCCACCACTACTGAGCTCCTTTTTCCTGCTAATTAAACTCATCCAATTTAATTTAGTTTTCTATTAGTTGCTTATGTTATCTTAGGCAGTGGTAATATACTATTTATGTCCCTGAATATAACTGCAGATTGGTGATATGTTAATGAAGGACTTGAAGAGATTTTGGCTATGTTGCATAGATTCTCCCTAGGATTTTTGTTGCTTAACGGAGCAGGAAGCTGCACTTAAAATCGTAAGACTGGAGTCTGCTTCAGCTTTGCCTCTGAGTAAAAACTTTCAACAAGTTATAAAGGTAGAATAATACCTATCCTATCCATCTATCACTTGCTTATGAGACTTTAGGGGAGATAATTGATCTGTGAGAGATTTTTAGTGAGTCAGAGCTAGCCACAGGTTTTTGTTTTTTTTTTCTCTCTCTCATTGAGTTTATTGGTACATTTTAGGTATACAGTACACTTACATTCATCATTGGGATCTTGTACCTTTACATGACAGGTCTTGGTTCTCATTTTTTTCCCCTGTCCCTGCCCTCCCTTCTCCCCCTCCTACCCTCCCCATTTACAAACACTTTATTTCCATTTTTCATTTTCTCATATTTTTTTCTTTTCCCTTATTACCTTTCCCCTACCCTTCCCACTTTCTCTACACCTTTAGCCCTTTTCTTCGTATTTCACATTGTGAATTGTATCATTAGGATCTTATGTACTATTACAGTTTTTCACACCAGAGAAACTATTCATTATTTACACATGTGTGACTAATGATTTCACTTAGGTGTATATCCTCAATATGTAACCATTTTCCTATGAATGAATCTAATTTCTCATTCTTTATTAGCCACAGGTTTTGAATTGACTATTTTTATCCTAGAGATTAACACAGGCTGAAGCCCCAGGCAAGGCTAGGAGGTTGTTCCTTTTCTGTGATTTGAACAGAATTCCCTAGCATTTAGAGGCAAAATTGTTTTGCTTCCCAGGATGGAGTCCATGACCTCTAGACAGGAATGGGAAAGGTCCAATGGGTGTGAGGGTGGGAGCAGGGGGCAGAGTGGGCCTCTACTTATGTCCCAGACCCATAGAGTAAGTTTGTTTCTGCAGTAGAAGGGTTACTAAGAATAGCGATCTGCTAATAATGATTGGTATCTGTTGAGCATCCATTATGGGTCATACCCAGCATTGTGGAAACTTCTACCAAGTATACATGACATTAGGAGAGAATGAATTTATTCCTGGATGAAATGAATAGCATAGCAGCTACTCTGAGGTTAAAATTTAAGATAGCGTTAAATAGTCATATTTATCTTCTATAATATAGATACTTTTAACACTCCTTGAAAGTATACTCTGTTTATTCAGTGCTTTCCTGTGTCTTGTGTGAGAAGTATGTTATCATTTTACTTAATCTTTATTATCTGAATTTTAATAGTTGTAGACTGGAGTCACGAAAGATGAAAAGATTTATGCCTGTCACATAGACAGTAAGTAGTGAAACCAGACTCAAGACTAGATTGAGATGTTCCATTCTTTTAACTATTGAGCTATGTGCAGTCTCCCATATTATTTACTACCTTAAAATTATGTCTGTCCTCTCTCCCTCCCCCTCCTCTTTTCCTTCCCCTCCCCCTCCCCTCTTTTTTTGGTGCCTGGAATGAAACTCAGGACCTCATGCTGTGCTTGCCATGAAGGCACAGCACTGTTGAGCTACATCCCCGGCCCCAGATTACTTATATTTGTGTAATATCTGTTGTCCTATGTGACCAAGATATTGCCTAACACAGAATAAATCCTTATTAGAGGTTGATCAATCCTCTTACTCCCTAGAAATGGGGACAACACGGGCTAAAGAAAAAAAAAGACAGTAGAGACTTGCATAATTTCAAATATATAGGGGCCGGGAGGTCAGTGCCTCAGAGTGGACAAAGACAAAGACACTTGGTGCTTGCCACTATTTATTGGGCTCATAGGGAGTATCACCTGACTCATTGAGCAGTGATAATCCTAAATTCAAAAGGAATTTATAGTCAAGGGAGTATCAGATGTCTCAGAGGGCAGTGGTAATCCTGTGATGATGAGGATCTTAGGCTGAGAGGATCTTAGGGTGATGAGTTTATGTTGATTAGGATGGTGAGAAGAGCAAAAGTCCTTACAACGATAGGTGGGATCAGTTAAGATGATAAGGGATTTGCTCCTTCACAGGTGAAACCTTTCTCTTTTTGTGTTACTACTTGGTTCTTAAAGAACCAGGATGTCTTAGGCTGATGTGAACTTTGTCTTGAGTGTCACAGCATCATGGACCGTTGAGGCCTCAGATAGCCCTAATCATAATTTTCTCCCCAAAATTATGTAGAATGGCTCCTGACAAATCCTCAGTGAATAACTGGTTGGCTGAATATATAAATGACTGAATAATCAAGCCTCTAATAATGAAAGCTTTTCCTAGGTCCATAAGACTCTGGCAGATTAACTGTTATGGTTTAGATATTGGGTCCCCTCCCACCACCATGTTTTTGGAAAGTGATTGGATCATGGGGTGCTATACTCATTACTGGATTAGTCTACTGATGAGCTCGTGGCTGACTGTTAGGAGGTGGGGCCTGTTTGGAGGCAGCTCCACTGGGGGTGTGACCGAGAATGATATCCATGTCTCCTTCCCTAGTCCCTCCCTACACTGTCTGTTTCCTGGCTGCCATATATGAGCAGCTTTCCTCTACTGTACCCCTCTGTGATGATGCTTGTACCTTGGAGCCAGCCAACCTTAGACTCAAAATGTGAGCCATAATAAGCTTTTCCTCTACATTGTGGGTGTTGGGTATTTTGACCCAGCAGTGATGAAAGTGCTAAGACTCTGACCTCCATTTGGAATAGACTTTTCTCTTCTGAGGCTCTAAGTCAGTGATTCACATTAAGCTGAAAGCCAATGCTTCCACACAGAAATAGTGACATTTATAGGGAACTCTAGACAAATTTACAGAGTTGCCTCAGAGCTTTTATGCCCCTTTCCTTCTCATTTACCCTAATATTACCTTAAGGACTCAGTATGTCAGTTCACCGATAACTCATTTACAGCTCCTAAGCTATGAAGGGGATCACATAATTGTCTGGTTTATGTCTGTTGCCGCAGTTTGTACTCTATCCACATGCTCCTCTCCCTTCTCCAACCTTATAATCTATCCCTAATCATTACTGTGGGGAGCATGAATGTGTTGTATAATTTTAAAAAAAGACAAGCTGGATTTTGTTGTTGATAGCAGCTTGTTAGTAGTAGCATGCATATACTTTGGGAGGTCAGAGAACCCCCTTTTCTGACTTGTCCTTTCCTCCAGAGTGTATTGTTTTAAGAGAATTCCCTTTTGAACGCAAATTTTTTTCCTTCTTTTAGGGGGAGGCTGGAATTGAACCCAGGGCCTCAGAGTTTGCACATGCTAAGTTTATGCTTTACCTCTGAGCTACATCCCCAGCCTCTCTAAACACTTTTTTTTTTAATAGAGAACTTTGCCTTATGAAAACCCACAGGCAATACTCAGTGTCCTGAGCATTTGGAATCTATCTGGTCTTAATAGAAGAACCTGTAGAAACCTGTTACTATTGACCTTCTGATTGGGGTGTGAGGACATGTCTTGTTTTATTTCTCTTGAAAAGGGGATCAGTAATGAGGTAAATACCGATGTAGTGCACCTCTCCTTAGGGACAGAGAGACTTTCCAACATCAGGCAGTGCCCAACTGTGGGGATCCAAAGTCTCCAACTAATAATTAATTTGTACTTTATAGCAGTGGTTTTCTAAGTGTAGTCTCTGGGCTGAGGAACTTGTTAGAAATATACATTCATGGGTCGCACCCCAGACCTACTGAATCAAATTTTGATAATAGTTCAAACCAAATTCTTTGTTTTTCACACTCTGCATATTTTTCTGAAACACATAAATATCTTCTTCTTTTCTCTCAATTCTGTGAACTTGTCTTGGGATTATTGTCATAAATATAATTCCTTTGAGTTCAAAACAGTTTTAGAAATACAGATCATGTCTCAGTTACAACAAGAGGGGTAACTGTTGGCTTCTTAAAAAATTAGGAAGTCTGGGAGCAGATAGCCCCAAATCCTGAGCATAGGGGTGGAAGCTATAGTATAGTGTTTGGTATTGGTGAGGTGCCAGATGCAAGGCCAGTCTTGGCAAGAGAAGAAGTATATATATAGGAACCAGGCTGAGAGGGTCCTTATGCAATGCCACGAAGTCTGTAACTATATTGTTGGCAGTGGGTAGCCACCAGAGAGATTTGGACATGGTGGATGGATTGGCATTTTTGAAAGATCTCTCTGATTGCTGATTGCAGTGAGGAGGATGGGTTGGAGAGAGAGAATGAAGGTAAGAGATAGAAAGCTCTTGAAATAGTTTAGTCAAGACAGCTAAACTAGTAATGATAGTTGAGATGGAGAGGAGAGGATATGTTTGCAACTTTTTTTTTGGAGACTTGTTAGAATAGTCTTTGGCATACAGTAGATATTTAGTATTTGTGGAATATAAGTTAGAACTTGATGTTGGATTTGGGGAGTATTATGGTTTGAATCAAAAATGTTCCCTCAAATGTTTATTTGTTCCGTGGTGGGGCTTTTTGGAAGGTGATTAGTTCATGGGGGCACTGATCTCATAATGGGTTCAGCCATTGATGAGTTCATAGATGAATGTACTATTACTAGGTGGGGCCTACTTGAATAAAGTAGGTCACTGGGGACATAGGTTTCAAGGGTACATCCTGACCCTGGCCTT